CATGGGTCATATCAGCGGATGGAAGCGAGTCTGGTGTCATACACACCACGATATAGAAAATGAATAGAAGGATATGTCTTGATCCATCCAAGTTGCTATACGCCTCCCGCCGTCTCCGACATCCAATACCTGACTCTCAACAAAAAACGTTAATTCCCGTTGCAACCGTTTTCTATTGCCCGCTCACGCATGACATCACACCGGTGAAATCCCCAGCTCAACAGCGAATGATGCGCCCTGAAAACAGCCAAAAATAAACTGCCGCAGTGCACCCCGCGCCTTGCGACATCGGCCCAAATAATTCTGATTGGGAGGGAGTCAGAGGAATTTAATTTATTAGTGTTGATGTGAAAGCATCTTCTCGTTCTTACTACGACTTACTGAGAGCTTATAAATGTAAGTAATAGAAGTATAAAAGAGGCTGAATTGGACGTACGTTGACTGAGGTAGCTTCTGTGTATCTCACACACAATCATGACTGCTTTTCCTCCTCCTCCTGTTAATACCATTGACTGGTCCAACGTGGGCTTCAAGGTCCGCGAAGGTTAGTTAGCTCCCTGCCCAATTGACTACCCTTGGAGCTATCGTGTTGACAATTGCAGTCAATGGACATATTGAATCTACCTACAGCCGAAGCACGGGGAAATGGACTCCTCTTCACTTTGTCGCGGATCCCTTCATGCGCATCCACGGCATGGCGCCGGCTCTCAACTACGGCCAACAAGCCTACGAAGGTCTCAAGGCCTTCCGAACCCCCAATGACGAAGCAATCACCATCTTCCGACCTAACCGTAACGCTAAGCGTCTTCAACACTCTGCGGAAGTTGTGTCAATGCCCCACGTCCCCGAGGAGCTGTTCCTCGATGCGGTTCGCGCTGCTGTCGCTTTGAACGCTGAATACGTTCCTCCTCACGACACTGGCGCTGCGCTGTATATTCGACCACAGCTGTATGGTTCAAGCGCCCAGCTGGGTCTTTCACCGCCGGATGAGTACATCTTTGCGGTGTTTGTCATTCCGACTGGTGTCTACCACGGCGCTCATCCAGTTAAAGCGCTTATTCTTGAGGACTTTGATCGCGCGGCGCCGAATGGCACGGGCAATGCAAAGGTCGGTGGCAACTACGCTCCTGTGCTGCGATGGAGCGACAAGGCGCGTGACGAGGGCTACGGTATCACGCTGCACCTGGACAGTGTGCGCCACGAAGAGATTGACGAGTTCAGCACGAGCGGCTTCATCGGTGTCAAGGACAACGGGGGACAGGTGACCCTCGCGGTGCCGGACTCCAAGTGCGTTATCGAGAGTGTCACGAGCGACAGCATCCAGGAGCTGGCGCGCAGCTACGGATGGGCCGTGGAGAAGAGGGCGATCAAGTATGAGGAGCTCAAGGAGTTTACAGAGGTTTTCGCAGCGGGCACTGCGGCGGCGCTGGTGCCGATTAGGAGTATTACGCGACGTGTTGGGGGAGGGGAGGATGTTGTTACGTATATCAAGGATGGGAGGGAAGAGCCTGGGCCGCTGTTTGAGAAGCTGCTCACGCATCTGAAGGATATTCAGCTTGGAAGAGCGGAGGATTCATTTGAGTGGAGATATCCTGTTGGTGAGAAGGATAAAGAGATTGCTGGTGCGCCTGGGGGACGAAACGGTGATGCCACGACTGTTGATCAGATGGATTAGAGAGAGAGAGAGAGAGAGAGAGAGAGAGAGAAGCAATGGTTACCGTGTTAGTCGCACTCGCGATACTGACCCGTCTCGTCTATCTCGAGTTCCCAAGGACCGTGTTTGCACTTTGCTTTGTCCCGCGACCCCCGTCGCTGGTTACGGGTCGCCGCATGGTACAACGGGAGTTGGACAAACAGACCACCCTTTGGGGTTTGCGGAGCCGGAGGAGGTGTAACGAGCCCGGTAATTCTCATATATACAACCAACCATCCAGCCTGAGTTACAAAGTGTGAACAAAATCATCCTCCTTTAAATCCCTCTCTGCCAAAAACACCAGCCCTCACTCCCCAAATCTTCTCCCCAGAATGTGCACATACTCCTTCCAACGCATGGTATGCTGCTGCGCCAAAGGCCCCGAGTGCCCTCAAATGACCCGCGGCCGCGCCATCATCGGCGGCGAGACCTTCCACTACATCGACATGTTCTACGCCGTGGACGACCTGGGCTCGGCGTGCGACTACCAGCGACGGCTGTTTGGGCGGAACGCGGGCCCTACGATGCACTGTCCGAGATATGCGTTTGACGACAAGAGGATCATCAAGGGGAGCTTTAGGAAGAGCGAGCTCGCGTGCGTCAAGTGTGCTGAGACGTGTGCGCCGCCGAGCTGTAGTTGGCAGGCTCCTAGGGCGGAGGGGAAGGAGGAGGGGAAGTAGGGGACGGCCCCACACGGAGGGGATTCGGACACGGAACATACGGAGAGGACAGGGAGTTTACGGAAGATGGATTTAGGGTAGGATTTGATTTGGGGGATGGTATTGACGCTATTGAAAACTATTTAATGTCCATTTACACCGTTTGACTTTCCGTTTGCTACCAAACTGCCATGAGCCCCAGCACCAGGCGCACCTTGGCGAGCAGCAGGACTCTTGTTCTTATCCACAATTCCATTCGCAAGCTTGTTCTTTGCATCAGAAGCCATGCCATTATGCGTGCCATTAAAGGACAAGTTGGCAATTCCGTCGTATCCTTTGATGCCTGTTGATTTCTCTAGTCTCTCAGCGATCTCAGGATCAACTTCCCGGAAGATAGCAATCTGTCGCTTCAGCGGCTCCTCCTGCTTACACAGCTTCATCTTGCCAGTGACATTGTTGATGAACCTCTCACGGGCTGGCTCATCAAAGACATTTCGCCAAAGTGCGCGAGGGGCGTTGAAATCCTCGGGTCGGATCTCAGTGAGGAACGTAACAGCTTCGCCAATGAAGTGACCATGAGTCTTGTCTAGATCCACAGCGCGGGACTTGAACTTGATAGGGTCAATGGAGGAGAGATAGTTAGGACGCGCGCCCTGGTTATAAAACGCCATCTGGCCATCACGCTGGAAGTTACCGAATTGATAACCTGTACGTGTCGCATTGACGGGAAGTTGTTGGTAGTTTACACCAAGACGATGGCGGTGGGTATCCGGGTAAGAGAACAACCGGGATTGGAGAACGGGATCAGCCGAAGGCTCAACGCCGGGGGGAAGATGAGAAGGATTGAAAGCAATCTGCTCAACTTCGGCAAAATAGTTGATTGCGTTCTCATTGAGAGTAAACTCTCCGACCTTTCGGAGAGGGAATTGCTTCTGGGGCCAGACGTGAGTAAGGTCAAAGACGTTGATCTTCTGCTTCTCCCACAACTCCTCAGCTTCCGTGGGAGTCATGGTCTGAACCTCGAGAGTCCACTTGGGATAGTCCCCATTCTGGATAGCCTCATACAAATCCTTCTGTGAGTTATCGGGCGAGTACTCGGCCGAGTCCTCTTGGGTGACAAAGTCAATACCCTGCATCGACTTCAGGTGGATTTGGCAGTAGACCCATTCACCGGCCTTATTGATGAGCTTAAAGGTATGTCCGCTATAACCGTGAATTTGTCTATAGTTCTTCGGGATCCCCCTATCTCCCATGAGGATCATGACTTGGTGAATTGACTCGGGGTTCTGGGAGAGGTAGTCCCAGAACATGAATGAGTCGTCGGCGTGAGTGAGATGAGTGCCTTACACGTTAGCCACACGATCATACACATAAATTCGTGAATAAACTTACTTGGGTCTCTCTTCTGGGTATGAATAAAGTGAGGGAACTTGGCCGGGTCTCTCAAGAAGAAAACAGGCGTGTTGTTGAAGACCATATCCCAATTCTGCAAAAGTCAGCATCTCACCACACCAATTCACTTAGGCAACTTACACCCTCATCAGTCCTCATCTTAACCGAAAAGCCCCTAGGATCTCTTGCCATATCATGCGATCCCGACTCACCACCCACGGTCGAAAACCTCATACTAACCGAACATTTCTTCCCCTTCTCCGACAGGATATCCGCCAGGCACAAATCATCCAGCGGGTCCGTACACTCAAAATAACCATGCGCACCACTTCCTTTTGCGTGGACAACACGCTCGGGAATACGCTCACGGTCAAAGTGCGAGAGGAGATCGATCAGGTGGAAGTCTTGCAGGAGGAGAGGGCCATTTTCACCAGCTCGTTGGGTCTCGTAGGGATGTGCGATGGGGACGCCGTTGGAGGTGGTGTAGAGGGTTTCTTTAGACGTAGCTTGACGGTCTGATTCGTAGGATTGGAATTGGTTTGCTACGTGGGCTGCGAAGGAGGTGTCTGTTGCTGAAGGTGCCATTTTTTTCTGATTTTAAAGGAACTAAGACTTGAGGCTTTACGGTGGTAGTTCACGATGGAGGTCGGTCTTATATATAAGCCACATTTTCCCCGGACAGTTCATCCTGTCATGTATCCAGCCTCTCATCGAGATCCGGCGTTAATTCATTTGGTGAGGGCTGTCTATGACGCGGTGAACAAGGCTTGAGGGTCGAGGGTCGATTACCATTGAAATCACGATGATTGGCTTATCGGGATATTCATGATGCCCTGCTTTGGGACATGACATCACGACAGCCACGTCAACCATCGACGATTGATACTGACATCTCGGGATGTGGACGGGGATAAGTGAGGGAGGTAACTAGGGAATATCTTGAGAGAAGCGGGTCGAAGGATTTGTTGAACATGTTTTTCATGGATATTCTATTTGTCAAGCCTTTGCCAAGTAGATCTGAGATCTTAGGCTCGTGGGTGGGTTGCATTCTTAGATCGGGATGGCGTCAATATACCCTGTACCATTTCATGAGACTTCACATTTTACCTGAACCACGATATTAGGTGGATAAATGCGAGTAATTACATTCTGTGTAATTATTTCATCCATAAATCACTACTTGTTCGTTGATTGACTTACCTGAATTCCCAAATCAACAGCCAGCTGATAAAGCAACACCCTCCATAGATTAGCACTCAAAGAGACTTGAGAAGAAGCTCATCATCAAGATGAGAAATATACTCACCCCTCTCAAAACGCTTCAACCGCTCTTCCCACTGCGGAACACGATGTCCCAGCCCAAGAACATCCGTCATCAACCCCTTCCAAACATCTTTATCATCCCTCCCATTAATGCTGATAATATCCTCCACACAACTCTTAAACTCACCCGCATCACCCTGCGCAATCACAACAATCCTCGCAAGAATCTCCGTCCAGTTCCGTAAAAGCTCATGATCAAACGTCATCTGCGAGTATCGAAACTCCACAGTCGTAGGAGACCCTTCAAGAGTATCTTCGTCATTTATCTTATAAGTCTCTCCATCACATATCTTATACCCTCGTAACGACAGGGCGAAGCCGCAGCGGTTCATACGTGCCTTTTTGAGACGAAGACTGAGCTCAGCGAGGATGGTGCTGCCCCATACGCCGTAGAGCATCTTGTAGATGTGTTTAGGATACCAGTTGTTCCACTTACCTCGTTTCATGGTGCTCATACAAGGAACATGCTGGTTGAGAAGAGTAGGGTCTTCGAGGGGCTTGTGAAGATCCATGTCCATTGCTAAAGATGAGTGCTCGCAGATTGGCATTGAAAAAGCGCCTTTCCAGCGTGGGGGCGCGACGAGACGGAGAAGAAGAGTGGTCTCCAAAAGGATTACTAGAGTTGTGATCTTTTGGGCGAGAAGAATGGTCATACCTGTTTCAACACCAACGTGGACATGCATACCGCATGAATCATCAGCAGAGATTTCAAGACCCAGCTGTCGAAGGTTCGTCAGAGCAGTCTTCATAGTATCAAGTCCATTGTCCAACTCACCAGCGCCAAAAACAGGAGTCGTTATCTCCACACCATCCCAATCCCGTTTCTTACTCAGCGGATGAACGAGTTCAAGAAACTCAGACTTGAACATGAAACAACGCGCCGGGACGACATCTCCATAAGACAGTATGTTTGGGAACTGTACCACACAATCGCCGCCGAATTGGTTCTCCTTGGGGACTGAAGCGCAGATAGTGCATCTGTCAGCGAAAGGATGACAGCATTGCACTGCGATGGGGAGGGAGGTTCGCTTCGCGAGGAGGTCTGCCACGTTGAAGCGGGCTGCTGCGGAGGGGGAGATGAAGCGCCACATGCGGTAGGAGTCTGGGACGGGGGTCATGAGTTCCAGCTCGACTCCGAAGGTGATTTTTTGGAAGGAAGGCATGTTTGCTATCAGGTATTGGGGGGAGATACCTGAATGGCGCTGTGGTGGAGGATGATGATGATGGATGGGAGATGCATTTGGGGCTTCAGATACATATTTATGAGAGACGGTGCTTCTTTGATGCTCGTGTATTCATGAATTCTGATATTGTGCAGGATAATGCTTCCGTGAACGGTCGCTGAGTTCACTTACATGTTGTGCTGTTGTGTGAAGCTCACTGTTCGGACTAAACAATGGGAGCCTCAAGCCAGACAAAGTATTGTCCCTACGGATATGATCCGTCAGGTAGGATACCACCTAATGAAGACGAAAAAGGCAATTACAGCCTGGATTGCACTGAACAAGGGGAAACAATGGCTTCAATACAAACATCTGTCATAATCTTCTCTTCACCAGTCAGTTCCTCATCACCTTCGCCAGCTACCTTCTCCAAAACTTACATGCCTGGCGCATGATCGTAGGACCAATGATAAAGTTGGCCGTCTTCTAGAATAAAGTAGCATCAATGCTCCAATTCCCCGACTAGCCAAAGCTACATGGTCGCAGTCAAAGAGTCATGACACCGCCAAACTCCAGATTCCCATGTTCGCAATCCTACACGGAAACGAATGCTGCGACGGCTAGTACGAAGCTTAACTGAACATAGTTTAACTGACAGATACTTCCAACGCCGAATCCCGGCAGCGGGTAAGTGGCTTGGAATGAACGTTGCCGCCATTACTCATTCTTCTGAGAGTGAAAACAGTCACGGAATATTATGCTGAAGATGAATGTATGTATGTGCTTGTTGTATAGAATATGTAGTGTTGTGGTTTCGTAACACCGGGTATATATAATAATGTGTACATGAAGAAAATGTCGGGTTAAGCAGTCGTGATGTCCCTGTCCTGATTAAAAGCCTCGTGACGCTAGATGTATTTCTGATGAAGATTTCGATAACCCCTCACTTTCGTAATGATGTCCTTTTGATGTCCCAATCGTAGATTCAGCCGATGACTTTCCGCCCATGCTCATACCATCATCCTCTCCTCTCTCTTCCCGTTGGACGATGACTTCAGTAGTCATGACAACTTCATCATCACGGGGTGTCTGACGAGGAGCCTGTCGTTCATCACCACCCATGACATAAGCCCTATACGATATATCACCGGGTGGCTTGTCAAGAGTATTACTGATGAATGTATCAAGCGCGATATTCGTCTTGTTTCCTGTCGTCATACCAGTGGTGTGACTCCGTGGTCCAGAGCTAGCATCCTTGTTACCTGTAGTCATCTCAACGAGACGGTTAAGAATAGTGAACTCGAGCTTGAGTTTTGTGCTGTAGACAAAGGCTTTGTAGGATGTTTGGTACTGGTACTGATTGGCGTACTCAAGGCCGAGGATGGTGATGTCGAGAAGAATGATGAGGATGTTGACGTAGACGAGATGGTTCATCAGACGACGACTTCCACGCTTGTTGCCCATTGTGCGTTCCAGACGCATCATCTTGACAGTTTCGTAGATGTAGAAGCATGAGATGATGATCTCTTGTATGAAGAAGACGGTGACTTGGATCTTCTCCATGATGGAGTATGGCTGCTTCCACATATTTGTATTCGGTGAAAAAGAGCCATAGATCATGGGAATAACAGCTCCATGCATAAGAACGCCATTAACAATGATCATGTACAGCACAGCCTTTAGTCTGAATCTATTCCTCAGAACGAGATGCAGTCTCGACCATAGCACGAGCGACTGGCCCGACACCATGGCTACCCATCCTACTGAGATAAATGTCGACGCGAGATATCCCAGCGCTGAAGAGGCGTAGTACTTGATGAAGAAACCACAGCAGTACACAGCAATTCCCCATGTTGAGACGAGGAATGACCAAAAGTAGAGACCGGAGTGACGTTCGAAGGTCCCAAAGATGATGAAGTTGAGCTCAATGACGTTGTAGAGCGATATGGCGAGGAAGACGAGAACGACGGTTATTGTAGTCTGGGATATGCCTTCAAGGCCCGATCCAAAGCCATTGTTGGCCATGGCTGCGAGTTACTGTCCGTTTGAGCGACTGTCAATTCCGAGAGGAGAACATGAGGAGATATAGAATAAGAAAGGAGACATCAACAAGCATCATTCAAGTTTCCCATGTCTTTAACAAGCACCGATCTAGTTATTAGTTCTTACAAGCTTTTTGACCGCTACGTAATATAAATGGGAACAAAAACGGTCTGAGCACGGAGCCAGCCTGTGCCGTAGAGACTAAGAACCTACCTAATCTACCGCTGTAGCGTAGGCCTCATGGCAAACTCTCACGAATCGGAATCGAAAAGAGCGAGTCAGGTCCCGTGTCGATCTCGTGCAAATTCGTTACTCGACAGGGCTGATCCCATCCATGGGATTGGGAGAGAGACAAGGTTTGCGCTAAGTGGACCGTTGTAGATCGTGGTGGATTCTGGGGTTAGTGGGGAATATGCCGTGTGAGGCTTGCATCGTCTGCTTTGTTATTGGGTGCTGAAGGATATTGTGAGGATGGAGTGGGAGTGGTCGCAGTGGTGAGAGAGTTTTATCCCTGATAATCTGGTTGAGATTTCTGGAACAACTTTGTTGAGTTTTGTCATTGGTGATGTGATAAATGGAGAGTTAAATGTGGTATCAAATCTCCAAGGCTGGGCTTAACAAAGGAGACCTCGCTTACCACCCCTGGACCTGGTACTCATAGACCTCAGCTTTAAGGATTACTGGCATGGATCTGATAACATGTCAGACTTGAACCTCAGACCTCAGCCAAGCTAACAATCCTCTGCCGATCACTACCGCCAAACAGGAAGCTACACAGAGCACTTCATTCAGCCACCTCAACCCCAAGCTACTTCCCCGCGATATCTTCAGCTCTTGGGACCTTTGCGAGCATCATTACAAGGGTTCTTATGAGATATGGCTTGAAGAAACCTTGCAGATAATTTTAGCATCCAAATTGATGTGCAGCCTCGTGTCAAGCGAAGTGCATGACGAATGTCCATGTGGAGGAGCAAAAAGCAATATGAGCCAAAGCCCTGGATATTACATGCAGACAACTTCTCGAAGACGCCTTTCTCCTATTGTTCAATTACCCTGGGGTGAAAGCACTACGATCGACGACAATGCTTCTAGAGTACGTACAGTACAAACTCATTGTTCAGGGGAACTCACATGCAGCGCCCGATCCCGGAAACAGTGTCTACCGGGAATGCTCTCATCCTATTAGTCTACCGTTACCCGTGGCTTGTCTCCTAGCGTCGTCCGCCCTCTTAAAAAAGATCTGCATTCCGTTCTTCGTTTCAGCTTCACTCCATTTAGCTCACGATCGGAACGGTTGTCTGCTCCCCAGGAACCGGTTCTGACACTATTGTTTACTAGCGAGGACGAGACGAAGATCATGGTGCTCGGTCCCTCAAGATATGCGGAGTTGATGATCTCTGTAGGAAATCGTCGAAGCTGTCATGTCAACACGTGAATATGTCCAGATTCTCGCGAGGCTATTCGAGAATGACTCGTCTTGAGTTTATTTGTCTCTAGTTGTATCACCATTGTGCATGATCTGATGCCCCTGTTGTTGATCCCACTGTAGATCCGGGGATGAGTCCCAAGGGAAGGATAACACATCCATTGGAAGGTGATGTTGTTGCTAATCTTGTTTGGCGTTGCATTGAGCCAGTGTGTTGGGTGTTGTATACGGGTTTTGCGAATCGTGCATTTGAGGCATCGGGCTTGGTCCTGTCCAACATATGCGCCTACGCCTAAATCACGACCAAGGCATGCCCCTTGGAAGAACAGCTAACGCTTGGTCTTGACGGAACCTCGCTGGCTGTAAGGCACTCATTGTTGCCCATATTGATAGCTGTAGCATGATAGGTGATACTTAGATTTACTCTATAAAGCGCATGGTATTTGCAAACCTACAATTCGCTTCGCTATAAGAACAACGTCACTAGATGTTGAGAGTGCACAACATGTTTGAGCACAATATACAAAACATTTGACCTTTACAAAAGCACCATCAACTAGAAGCTTGCATCCCTCCGCGATCCCACAGTTTAGCTCCGGCCTCATCAACGTGTGGTAGGTCACTCCCCCAAAACTCTACCCCCGACGCCATAGTCTCGGCCGAAAACCACTCCGCTACCCCAAAGCAGTCTCTCAAAACGTCTCTTTTCATAACCTTGCCTGAATGTGTCCTCGGAAGCTGCTGTCCCTCCCCTAACACAGCCAAGACGGTAGGCAGCATGAACGGAGCTAAGCTGACGGCCAGATCAGCTCTGATCCGAGCAAGTACTGTTGGAGCACCAGGCTCAGCGAAGCTCCCTTTCTGGAACCTTACAGCGGCACCACACAACTGCCGTGCTTCTCTATGGGGAATTGCAAGAACGCAGGCCTCCGAGATGTACGGCAGTTTCAGTAGACTGCTCTCTACCGCCAGGATCGAGATTCGAAGTTGTCGAAAGCGGATATCTACCATACAAAGCGTATTAGACTTTTCGGCCGGCACATTGAAGGAATTGGAGAAACTCATAAGTAAACTAGACCTACAATCACTAGAAGCTCGACCGCGAAACCAGTATTGGCCATCCTTAAGCTCGGCGAGGTCCCCCGTTTTGTAGTATCCTTCGTCATCAAAGGCAGCTTCAGTAAGCTCATCATCGCCAAAGTAACTAGAGAATTGGTCAGTCTGAAAAGCTCCTGTAATTGGTTGTGTATTTCTTTTGACTTTGTTGGATATCATACCCTAGTAGCATTCTCGGGCTTTTGGCGAGAATTTCACCATGATCCCCTTCTGACAGTTTTATCACAGTGTCGGAGACGGCACGCCCTATTGAACCCTTGCGATGACTTGCGTGAGCTTTCAACTATTATAAAAGCATAGTGGATTAACTTCTGCGCCTTCTTCTTACCTCTTTGTCCGACATGCCACCAATGGCACGACCTCCTAGCTCATTCGCCCCATAGACGATATAGAATGGCAACCCTGTGAGCTCGGTCCAGAACTGGAACTTGGACTGCTCAAGAGTTGCACCACCACAATACATCGCGGATAGCCCCTTGAAACAGCTGGACCATGATTCCACAGGGGGATTCGCCAATATGTATTCTTTCATGTCATGCAGAACCGCTGGTATAAACCCTACCGTGGTGATGTGGTAGGTTCCAAGCGCCTCTAGAATTTCCCGTGCACTGGCCGTTTCTCCAATATGATAGAGCTTCTTTCCAGACAACACGGGTTCCAGTGCTTTCCTACAGCCAGTCCACCAATGGACTCCTTTGTAGCCGAGAGTAGCACTGCCAGGTTCAGCGAGATTGCGGCCGAAATGGAAAGATGCTCTTGGGAGAACCACGCCCTTGGGGGGACCAGAGGTGCCTGAAGTAAACAACACCGCGCCTGGGCGCTTTGAGTCGATTCTCAATGCATAGTTTATTTTGAGTTGAATAGCTTCACCCAGAGGCTTTGCGCGGGACGATATTAGAACCGGGAAGATATGATGTGACTCATTCTCGTTCTTTATGATGCTGCATATGGCTGCGGCTGTATCCAAAGACCCGTTGCCAGCAAGGATACAAGCTGGTCTGACTTTCAGCATAAGGTTGGCCTCAGCTGGACGGATGCCAGATGCTGAAAGAGCGTCAGTCTAGTCGTTGAATCAGCTAGCTACCTTAGGTGGCGCACTCACGCAAGATAACGCTAATGCCACCGATGGCGCGGACTGCGAAGAAAGCAATTATAAACTCGTAGACGCTACATGAAACTACTGCAATGTACACACGGTGGTCACGCAGGAGGCCTTGTTGATCAAATCCTGATAACTGTTCGCGGAGAAGGTCGCGTGTATGTACAATGTCGCTAAGCAGTTCTGGGTACGTCTTCTCGAGGCCATTCTTTTCATGAACAATGGCTTCCGATTTTGGGTATTGAGCACTTGCAGCTAGTAACCTGATGAATACTGTGTCATCTGGGAACCCATGGGCGGTATCTGTTGCCATTTATAGTGCCTGTGTCTCGCCTGTGTGTTTCCCTCTGTTAGATAATCGTAGCTTTAGGTAGTATACACAAGAGGGCCGGCCAGTGTGAAGATAGGCCCTATATTTTGTACATACAACAGCATACGTGGTAGTGGAATTGATTTTTAGTGGTGGGGTTACCCCGCCTTTCCCCAGGAAGTAGTGTACCTAGCGCCTCATGCAAACTCATTCTAAGTACTAAGGTAGGTACTAAGTTACTAGTACCTCAGGCACTTACGGTGGACAACCAACAGTCCTCCCCAACCATTTACGACCAGTGATGACGAAGAGCTTTCGATCTTGTTCCACTTCGATTTACCGAATCCACCGCCGTATCGTTCCTGTGCGGGCGCTCGGCCGTTGAAGATTTGAGCAGACAGTGATACTTGAGCTTCTTCACCCCTTGATATCGTCGCTTATGCCATGGTAGGACCAAACGCTGGGGAACCGAAGGTCAACAGGTCTGGGTTGGCCCATATCTCACTGATGTGGGTTTCCGGATGAGTTTGACCGCGTTGTGAATACCTGGTTGGCTGTTGAACGCTAGATTTGCTTCTGATCAAACCCGACACGTCAGCGACTTGGAGGACGCTGTATGCAAGGGTATTGATAGTTGAGGCGGATTTGGCCTCCTCCTTGACCGATCATCGTAGGAGTTGCAGATAACATGTTTGAGAGGTGGCACTGGCATCGCGCAGGGTTCATTTCAGGCAGAGCAAGCACGTTGAAGGGACCGCAAGTGAACAGATTGTACGTTGCCCAACCGAGAGAGCGATTAGCGGGTCTATTGCTGACTTCTACTAACGGCGAATCAATCCATCTAAGTCTTCTCTCTTGTTGACTTAATCTCTCTTGCAACTTCCGTTGGCACTCCCTTTCCATGCCGTTATCACCTCCCTATCACCACCTCACCGAAATTCTGCCTCACTGGACAGATAGGTTGTACGTGAACGGGCGCTCATCGACACACGACTCTTTGTGAGATGCCTATATTGAGCTACGCCTCGAGGAGGCGAGGAGCCATTTGTTCAACCAACCGAGATTCACTAGTCCGGCGCTCTTGAGCTTATATCTGTATTCGGTCCGCTGAGTCAACGGTGGACTCAAGGACCCCGTTAACCACTCAATACCGACTGTGTCGGCTACGGGTGAACTGCTGCTCAATGTACTACGATGTATAATAAACCTTTTGGAAGCTGATGGATGGTCCGTTCAATACCACATTGTAGTCAAGATCCACTAGTCATGTCAAAAGTGCAGGGCAAGCTAGGCATCCGTGATATGACTTTCAGATCATGCTTGGTTGTACACGTACTCAATTGGCCTCGATGATCTTTAGTTTCTCCATCATTTCTCCCTGCGACATACCGAAGACCAAATCTCTCGGTCCATGGATCATCAGGATGACAATATCAAAGATACCAAGGAAGCATAGAGAGATTCCAAAGAAGCCGACAATTATGAGGATTAATACAAAGCTGGTAGAAAAGTATATTGAGGAAGACAGCTGCTCGTAAATCTGTGGGGACATCTGATAGAGAACGTTCCTCTGGATGGCCTGGCTCACTTTGAGGCGCTGTCGTACACCTGGGGTCATAACCACGACGTCCGACAGATAGTCTGCAGCGGCAAGACCATCTCTGTTTCATAAAACCTCTATGAAGCGCTAAATCGTATGCTGCTGTAGGAGTTCCTGAGTGCGTCCAAAGCTATAATTATACAAGGCTCAGACCAGATGACCTTCACAGCCTTCTTGAGGCCCCTTGCAGAGGTGCTTACAAATCCCGAAGTGAATCATTGGACCACTTTTGACTAGTGAAGGCTGGAACGGGTTGGTAGCGCTCGAAAGAACAATGTTTATGGGAACCACCAGGCACGGCGGGCGTTCTGAGAATCTCCTTGACCTCGTGGTTGAAGGGTGCCAACGGGAAGCGACGGATGACAGGGACAGGGTCTACGCTCTCAGAGATCTGGCGCGTGATTTGAGACAGGAAGACTGGGAGGTCGTCCCGGACTACACCGTACCTGTCAAAGAGGTCTACCACCGATTCGCTCGGTGGTGCTTGTTGCAGAAACGCAACCTGTCATGCCTATAGTACTGTGGAAAGGTGTGGGACTCTGGTCGTCAGCTACCATCCTGGGTGCCTCACTGGAGGTTCAGATACATGAGTGCCATACAGGGCTTCTGGCATGGCAGAACCATCATTACTGTGGAGACCAGACCAGCCGGAAGTGTTACAGGTAAAGGAGCTCATGGTAGACCGCGTTGAGGAAGTGGCTGTGTCAAGACTGCAGCTGACAGAGCTCGATAATAGGGAATTCAAAACCAATGCCAAGTTTGGTTCTGCGAGATTCTGGGACCAGGTTATGAAGCAGCATCTCTACTATGTCGTGGGTCTCGAAACAAAGATTGCAAAGGAACGAGCGGTGACTCTTTGGAAAGAGGCGGCGGAAGCCAGGGAACGTTTCAGCTCTGAGAAAGTGCCAGACCACGAGATGGCTAATGTTGTCTGGATGGAAAACTGCAAGCATATTGCTTTGAAAGGCACAGAGAACCTTGAAGCCGAGCGACTTAGTATTCTGTGGGAGGTTATGATTCCCAGTGAGCTGCGCAAGAAGACCATGGCCTCTGACAACTCTGTCCATCACCTCAGTGAGGGCGACTTTTTGTCCTACCTTCCGCTACTTGGGGGATATACGAAATGGGAAGAAAAAAGCCTCGCCTCTACCGGGAACTGCATTTAACCTACCACGCTTACGAGCCCTCAGACTGGGCTGGGTCCCACAAGATGCAAAGCCGGGCGACCTCATTTGCGTGTTCGACGGCGCCAACGTTACGCTTGTCCTTCGCCCAGCGAAAAACACCAAGCCATTGAGCTTACTAGAAAGGGTATTACAAAGATGCGGATTAGGATCCTCAGAGGTCGAGGGATCAGATGGCGCCAAGTATTTCGTACTTGTTGGTGAATCTTATATTCATGGTCTGATGGATGGTCAGGGAGGAAAGATACATGGATTGCGGAGGGAAGTCTTTCATCTATGTTGAATTATCGTCCAAATCACTGATGCGATTGCTTTCAAGGGAACGGATATGAACACTGCGGACTTTGAACCAGTGTATAGCAAGGCAAACAGGAGTTTCAAATAAAATCGTCCTCAAGACCTTTTGCATATATTTAATGGTCTAAGTTCGCCTACGCACGTAATCTTGTAAAATTTGGCATATTGTCATACAAGGGCCTCTTTCTGTTGAGGAATAACCGCTCTAGCTACATCTAACGCATATCTGGCAGGATAGTTACTAGATCAAAGTCAATTAGTAGAAAGCGTCTATACTTATCATTCCAGAGCAAATTCTCTAGTCGCAAGTCGTTATGGATGACGCCATAGTATATAAGTACTGTACCGGCCCATGATCCATCCAATTTGGTTAAGGCACTCAAGACCCGAGGTGATCCACCGTTAATGCTAATATACATAAGTCTACTTTGTGGCAATCTATGCCAAGATATATAATAGTAATGCCTTTTTTATTATTATTTTATTAAGGTAATTACTATTAAAACTTTAGAAGATTAAATTATAATAATTAAAAAACTTAA